TTTCAGAATAAGAATGGTAGGCAGAATTTTTATTCTTAGGACAGTTAGAAAAGGCCTGTCTATATACTGGAATCTTCAATTAAGTGTAATATTTGTGAGGTTATCTATGGCATAGCACAAGATAAAAAGTATGATAGCGTGGAAAAAAGTACTTTAAAAGCCAGGGCGAAACGTGCTCAATGGTTCTGATTACTGGCTTTCCTCAACAAAAAAAAACATCACAGAACATGCATGTTTTGCCGCCTATACGGCTGGCATCGTCATTAAACACATTGCATCCGATGAAAGAGTGCATGTTACTCATTTCTTGCCATAAGCATCTGGCAGGGGCAAGTCACATTTTCCCAACTGTAGATGACGTCATGATTTTGCTGAGATTCTTCTTGAAGCAAAGATATTCGCACTTTTGCTGGAACTGTACATTACCCATTAGGTGTCCCGATGAACAATCCTGTGTCTCTAATTGTGACAGATCCATTAATTCAACACGTTAAGCTGCATTCCTTGCCAATCTTCCTCTTCCCTGACAAAATGTACTGAAGTAGATGAGACTTTCGTCATTGTACAAAAGACCAATCTGCATGCGACGCACGCGGCTCTAAACAGTGTTCATCTTGTCATCCCGAATTCAGTGGTGAACTGGAGGATTGTGGTACTTTAGTCCTTCCAAGATGTACTGGTACGTCGGAAAGATGCATTAGTGACAGCAGTACAATGCGCAATCTTGCGATGGCATCATTGTGAAGAGTTTCTACGCTCACCATCCTGCAGAACACTTGTGCGTCGTTTTGCGTACACTTCTGTCTCGCTGCGAGGCGCTGTCGGCGACGCCGGTCCTGATGAAGCATAAAGAAATTGATGTTTCCACTGTTTTGAATAAGCGGAGCTACTGTAAGCGGTTTGTCAACGATAAATGACACCTCAGACAACAACCTTGTCAGGTAAGCAGTAAGAGCACATCTTATTTTGTGTGCATTCCGTATGTTCGCATTGAGCCTTGAGGCGTTTCGGAGATTCAGTTGTGTTTAAACCCATGCACGCTCTTACGAATGCGTTCCCGAAACCTAAATAACACACCTCTTCGGACTGAACGAAGTGGGGGGGTGTATAAGGGCGATTGCATGGGTTCTGATGCCGGTTACATTAGCCAGACGGCTGGTGACATTGCGCTCGTTTCAAGGCAGCACTTAAGAGACCTTGCAAAAGCCACACGCGCAAAGCGTGCTAGGAGAGAATTAGTTGACCACGGTCTGACAAAGAACGTGTTTCATTTCCATATTGTGATGACATGAACCTTTCCAGAAATTGGCGCAAGCCCCCTACAGCGGCTGCAAAGCAGTATGGGAAGGTGGAGCACCGGAGGAGTGTCGTCTGCTTGCGGAAGCATTGGCTCACCTCGTTTCGCGCCGCGCGGCAGCGTACGAAATCATCGTTGTGGCGATATCACGTGAAATAACCCTGCTTCAATCTGCACTCACAGAAGAGGCACCACACAGAGCATTATGGAACCAGAAACACTAGTATCCTTGACCTATTATAGACCCGGGAAAATGCTCACGGCCGCCTCAGCATTGTTGGTACCGACCACCAGGGATACTAAGAAAATGGAACGCTCGCTGAACACGGTGACACGCTGAAGTGTCAGTGCCCTTTTTGGCACCTTTTAAAAGAACGCTTCCTGGGGGATTACATAATCAGCCATGACCAGCCTTGCTCACAACTAAAAAACAAAATGATATGCACGTGAGAGTTCGGTTGTGCTGCGTCTACTCGCTAGGCTGTGTGTTCTGGCGCTACCATCTGACCTCGTAAACTGCATTGCCGGGTGCCTATTCCTCATATAGAAGCACCGCCATCCAGCGGATATTCCAAGGACTGAACGAGAGGAGGCACACGCACACTTTCTTACGGCTTGCACTTCGTGTATACTTCCCATCTTTAACCACCTCGAGTTCATGGTATACACTAGTTAACGGTATTCATAGCACTGCGGCCCAACGCTCGCTAAACCTTTCTAAAACCAAGGAGGTTACGCGCAGCGAGTATAAAGTAGCAACCCTTTCTTGTCCGGTAGTGCTCAATGGACATGCCAATGGCTGCTAAGGGGGAATGAGAGACAGGAGAATTCGGCTTTTAGTTAACGCGCACGCTGCGAATTTTTTATCATTCAACAACGCAGAGAAGAAATCTCCCACCGGCTACACCTTGGAGGTCAAAATGTAAGACTGGTTACGCACAATTACTAGGACTATGAGAACGGGTGCTGCTATGAAGAGCTTCACCCCCAATATAACGTGAGGGCCGGCACCTGTTCGGCCTACTCTCATCTAAGATGATTTCCTTTGGTATGAAGCAGCAGGCCATCCTACCGCTCTGGCGTAGCTCCTGAGTGTGTCCAAGTGCTTGGCATTCAGTGCATCTTAAATCCCTGCAGTCACATTGTATATGGCCCATGTGTTTGCAGCGAAGGCTCAGTGGTGCTCAACCTGGCGCAACAGTAAGTGCTCTACCGCTGTCCGTACAATACCTTATGCAGTATGTCGTCCAGTGATACTCCTTCTTTTAAAAACGGCTTCAAAAATTGTTCAGGAACCGAGCACCTCCAAGGCCTCCACTTTCCACCTGTCAATAGCCACTTCTTTGACATTACCGTATTCACTAAATGTCCTGCGAATGCTATTGTTAGTAACATCCAAAGTTACCCATTCTAACTTCAGACGCACTTCTTGCCTGTTAGGAACAATAACTATGCACAGCCAGTCTTTGACAGCCAAGTGCCCAGCTTCCACAATCTTCTTCTTGGCCTTATCTGTGCACAGGTTGACAAACTAGACATGTCACATCTGGTAGGCAGCCAATAACAGCCACATCCTTGATGACAGCCGCGTCTTGCAAGGACTTTAGAAAATCCTTGATACGATGTGCAGACTTCCTATAATATAGCAGCACAGTTGCACAGAACGCTCACAGCATCAACTGTTGAAACAATGAGCAGAAGAATCCTGTAGCCTTAGCTACGGTAAAAAGACGCCGTACCAAGGCCGCAGGAGACCAATGTCACCGCTATTAGGGAGTCAGATATCCTGCGTCTGCACGCGTCGGGGATCAAAAGCAACATGAGCGTCACTGAGCGCACGCTGTAGACATTGCTCACGGCAAGCTATTAAAGACGATAGTCTTTCTTGAGGACCTTCGACGCAAAAATTTTGATCTGTCTGTTTGTCCGCCATAACAATACCCCAAACAGCACCAAACCATATCCTTAACGGACAACCCCATCTACATCGCCCACCAATATTGCTCAAGTTTCAGCGTTCATACTTGTGCGATTGTTAATTAAAAAACAATTATCATGCATATTTGAGGCATTATTACAACACTTCTATATACTGTATGTGTGTCTTTATAGTAGAATAGGCACACATAAGTAATTCTAAGGACCGTAGCGTTTATCATGCAGCGCTGACAATGCAACGCTTGAACAAAAAGGCAAGTGTTTCCAACGCTTTGCTAAGAAGAAATGGTAGTGGCATCTACACGTCGCCTTGTGTTCTACACCTTATCGCCTCCTAGAGAGGTGCGCATGCCGCGTGCTTTGTTTTTCAAGATAACTGCCAGATAGCGCTCATGTCTAACGTGTGCCATGCCTCGATGTGCTTGTTCGCCTCCGCTGCACGCATCGAGGCCCTCTAACGCAGCGCTTCCAGAATACCATTCACCGATTTTCTTGCGAAGAACATCACATAAACATTTTGTTCACTCTCTGCAGACTTTTTACGACATTTGCAGTGTGACATAAAGATATGGGGCCATTTTTTTTACACACCACATAACGTTTGATAGTCCTCAGAGGTCCGCAACTACAGCGTGCTTCCATAATGAGTAACGAGATTTTTTTGCAAGGCTCGTGGTGGGTCAAGCGTTAGGCGAGTTCTAAAGGTCGTCGCGTTTCGTTGAGCACCGCCTCCCGGAGCATGGTCTCGCCGGCGTGCGCTCTTAACAGGCACGCGATTCCAGAGAGCACGAAGGTCACTTCGCTCACTGCCATGTTCACGTTTACAAAAGGAGCAGGCTATTCACGCTAGAAGAAGTAAAAAAAATCATGGCATATCCACGGAGTGAAATATAGATGTTGATTGCGGCGAAACGTCCATGCGTCCATCCGTCCGCATTTATCACACTATAGAGTACGCATCAAACGGATGTTTCGCCCAACTCATCATCACTCACTCCATGAATATTCGTGAAATTTTTTATTATAGTAGCGCCATCTAGACTTTTTAACCGTCAACCGTGCGAAAACCACTAACGGCGTCAAGTGACAATACTTCTGAGGACATTTACACACAGCATCATCCAGAGAGGAATTCTTTAAACTAAATAAAAGTGGTTGCTACAACATATTAAATGATGAATTCTTAAAACTAACTAAAAGTGGTTGCTTGAACATATTGCGAGGTAACCACCCACACCCTGAGAGATTCGCCCCTAAGATTGTCAGAGTTGTTCGCACTTGTTCTTTCTGGTTGAGCAGCGCGCTTTAAGTTTCAATCTGTGGCAGTTGTTAGTCGGCGTTTGTTCAGCGTATTTTCATCACGTGCGTACTTTCCGTTTGAGGTGCGCCTTGGAGCTGCTTGCCGTTCTTCACGTGATTTTGCACCATGATTGGGTAGCACTCAATCCTCCGCCTTTGTGGCGATACAATGTACAACAAACGCTCAATGACCTCTGTGAAGACACGTTTCACTTTCGTGTTATGCAGATTCCCGGAAAAAGGTTTAAGCCAAGTTTTTCTCTTTCGCGCAAAAACTTTTAGCAGAATTCTACAATGTTTTCTCGTTTGCACAGTGAGTAAAGTTACAGCACCTATTCACTCCTACAACGCTCTCGTCTCGCGGAAAACATTTTGCTTTACTCCCCTCATCAGTGGTGAATTTTCGCGAATAAAGACTCGTGACACACTCCGGATAACGAGCTGTTTATTCTTATTAGAACATCATTCACGGCTCGCACATATAGTAAAGCTTGTCATTCTGCTGGATCCGTTTTGCACACACTATCTTGCTGCCCGGGTCCAAATAATCACTTACGAAGGCCCGCCTGAATGTTGGTTCACCTGTAAATATTTTGAGGTTTGAAACTGCGTAAATAGAGAACGCTCACACACACACACACACACACACACACACACACACACACACGCACACACACACACACACACACGCACACACAAACGCAGGTAAACCAACACACACACACACACACAAGCTCACCCGCGGATATTGAATAGAACCACATTTTGGCGGAATTTACGCTATACCGACAAGCTTGCTTCATCCCACGCCCAAACAAAGAGCACTCCGACTGTGTTGCGTTTGCAGAGCATTAGCACAATACTACGCGAACATTAATCAAAACCAATCCAGAAAAAAAATTGGCTGATCTGACGTACGGTGGGAATCGATTATATATATAGCATGAAATAGGAAGGTTGATATGTCACTTTAAATTGAGCACAACGTTACGAGGCGGATGTAAATTGTGCTGTACGAGACACGCATGTCATGATTATCATGGTTGAACGTGTCATTTACCTTTGTCATCTATTCACGTCACGTGATACCAAATTTGGTATATGTGTACCTAAGGGGGCGGCCACGAGTCCATCATGAGCCTGACATGTATTCACGACTTACATGACATGCATGTCATGATTACCACGTTAGGGGCTGTTTCTTGGGTTCGCCAGTTAGTGGTGTTATACCATGCAAGTTTCGCATTGTCAAGAGATAGAAACCTCCGAACGGGCAGTAAGACCATGAAATGTAAATCGTGATATTCATGACATACCTCTTACGGTTTTCATGTTACGACTGGTCACTTATGCTCGTCATGCACTCTTACTACGTCATACCAATTTTCCTACGGATACCATTATCGAAACGGGCAGGAGAGCTAAATGTCGTAGGCGGCTATAGATAGAATGAGTGAATGAGTTTAGGTAAGTGAAAAGTGCACGTGTTCGGTAGGAGTGTGAGGAGTATCGTTGTGTTTAGGCAAAATATCAGTGCGTTACGTGTGAGGAGTCGGACTCACTTTATTTTGTCGTCCAAGGTGTTGAAAACTCGATCAAAAAGAGGAAAAAGCAGTCATCAGCCGCTACAAACTTGTTAGCATTAAGCCTTTTGGCAAAAAACCCAAAAAGATCCTTCTGAGCGTCCTTCAAAATGAATGTATTTCGCTTCGGGTAAAACTCGGATCAGACGCACCAAGTGTTTCCTCGTGCGGAATTGCTGAGGCTTTCACTCGCCAAAACTTTCCTTCAACGGATCCTCTCGAACAAAGATTGACGAACATTTTTTGTGGCAGAGTTATTTAAGCTCAGGCATATCAAAACTTTCGTCCAGCAGATTCACTCGTGCTTATATTATACTTCATAAATTTCCCTCAAACCGACTCACAGAGGATTTTGCGAGTTTCCGCCAATCGAATTTCCTCGAATTCACGCGGACAATCATTTTCATCCACCAGAATTGCTCTGGCTCAACAACTGCAAAACGTTTTCAGCTGCACTCGCTCGCACTCGTACTCATGAAAGTTTTCCTCAGGTGAACTGACCATGACTCAGACTAAGCAAAAATTTCATAAAGCAGTCTCACTAAGACTGTGTCTGGTGAGTCAACTCATGACTGACTTTGACAACCTACATCGTGAGCAGACTAGAAAGGCGGAAAGCGTTCAGGAGCTCTATCACACTTTTCTAGATCTACCATGTATGCCCTCACCACGTCAGTATGCCTTGCAGAAAGAGAGATAAAGAATATAAGAAATACTGGAAGGTAAGGAGATTACGCCCTGTTTGCAACCCTACACGTCGGGAGAGATAAATAGAAGAATACAAGAGCGAGAAAGAAGGAGATGCACTTGCAGATATTGTGCTTTAAGCCTATGCATCGGAAATCTTAGTAAAGGGACGACCATCCAGTCTTTAATGCACTTGCAGATATTGTGCTTTAAGCCTATGCATCGGAAATCTTAGTAAAGGGACGACCATCCAGTCTGCTCATGGCACAGTAGAGAGTCTGAAGATCTTGCTGAAAGTCGGGACCGTGGCACAAGACTGCTACCACGGCCAAATATTGTTACGTGGCAACGACATGGTCAGGTACAAGCGGCAGTAGAGACAGTCATCTTCTGCAACTTCCTACTATGAGCCTTTTAGTGCATTCACCTGTATGCACTGATAATGTCAGTGAAACCCAGACAACACACACCCTGGTGGCAAAAGTGCTGAGCCGGCGCGTCTGTGGGGCCACTGTAAAAGGCGGCAGTAGCACTTGAGCCTTGATTAGCGAACAACGTCACTAGATAACAGAGGAGAAGAGGTTGTGGCATGATTAGGAACAGTTTTGTACGTAACGCCTGTTACTTTTCAATAAACATAGTTATGGGCCCGTAAAGCGAGGAAGTAGCCTCTCTGAAGGGCCGAGGCCTCGCGATAGAGACCAGATAATAACGTGAGAAACCACTGGGAATGTTTATTTGCTATGACGGTCGGCGTAAAGGTGCTTCTGTGTTTGTTGAGAAGCCATCAATCTGTGGCGGGCAAGCTGACGAGCGTGGTCAGCGCAAGCATTAACATCGCGAGTGTATTCGGGGGTCGGCCCTGCCAAAGCCAGAAGGCATGTATTCAGTGGTAACGCTGGTTCACGTCCAAATAAAAGGTAAAACGGTGAGTACCCAGCAGTGTCATGGCGGGAGAATTTGTACGCGAACGTGAGGTATGTTAGTGTATGGTCCCAATCACGGTTATTGGTCCACACGTATTTCGAAAGCGTGCCTGTATGGGTTCGGTTTAAACGCTCTGTAAGCCTGTTCGTCGGAGGATGGTACGAGGTCGTTGAGCTTACGGTGAGTGGAGCACGAACGTAGGATATCGTCAATCACTTGAGCCAGCAGTTGGCGTGGGGCACCATGCACTTGAATAAGTTCTCGAATTCGAAAATCGGCGACGTCCGTTGCACAGCTGTTGGGTAAAGCTCGTGTGACTGCGTAGCGGGTGCACTATCTGTGCCAATAGCAATCCACTTGTTGCCCGAAGTAGAAGTTGGAAAGGGCTCGAAATAAATGCTCTGGTCAGATGTCGATAGGCTCAAGGTCACCTTCAGAACGTCCCGGCGGCTTTTTTGTGGCACTGCCAAACTTCGAAGACGTTGAGTCAACGCCGTACAGAATGTCCAAAGCCAGGCCAGTAGTAGCAGCGGCGCACGCTGTCATACGTGCGACATACGAGAAAGTGACCAGCGGTTGGTGCGTCATGAAGTTCGCGGAGGACAGTGGAGCGCCGGTGTTTATGTTGAAATCTAATGTCAGATCCAGATCGAGTTTTCATGCTCTGAGCAGAGCAATCGCAATCCAATGGCAGTTTGGGAGCGTGAATTGTGTGTTCCAATGGCAGATTGACAGCGACCGCAGATCACGGATGACTCTTTAGAGCAAGCGTTCTTGCTCCATAGAAATCGACCGATTTTACTGGAAGTTCAAGTGATGTATTCCGTGCGTCCGCCTTTCATCCAATCACTGATGGATGTCCGGAAAATGCTTTTCACTCCCGCACACCCTCTCGTGCTCCCTCGCTAGATTTCCGCTCACCGACAGCTCCTGTCGAGACGGGTGCGTTTCAATCGCAGATTTGGCTAGAGCAATCACGCTCAGATCTGCGCGCTCCATTCACAATCCGTCCCAGCGCTCGCGATCTGCCATTGAAATGCAACATTAGGTACGACGCGCAGTATATTGAGACCGGTGGGTGACCGTTTATGCTGATATAAGGATGTTATCTTTAACAGCAAACATGCGTAAAGAGGTGTTGCGCGGGAGGATTGCATCCATTGTATTATTTGGCTTGGGTGCGGGTACCGACGCTGGTCGTCGTAAAGGCGAAATAGCTAAGAAACGGATAATATGCCCTTGATGGAGGACTACTCGTGGAGTTCAAGCCAGCCGCAACGTAGCGTAACAAGCAGTCCGCTTCCTTGAGTGGTCTGTCGCTCTTGTACACTACCGTGTAGCTATACTCTTGCAGGTGGAGTGCCCAGAGAGGGAGACGACGTGTGGGATTTTTAAGAGGCAAGCCAACAAAGGGCATCATGGTCCTTGAGCACTGTGAAAGTTCGGCCGTATAAGTAAGGGCGAAATTTCGCAACTGCCCTCACCAGAGCGAGGCATTCACGTTCCGTGATGGAATAATGTACCCCGAGGAAAACAGCAGTATTCTGTCATAAGCGATCACACGATTTTGCCCACAATGTCACTGGGCCAGGACAGCGTCGATTCCGTGACCAATGGCGTCAGTGCGAACTTCCGCTGGTGCTGAAAGATCGAAGTGCGCCAGAACAGGGGAAGACGTGCGCTGTCTGACGAGCTTGGAGAAAGCTGGTGCTGGGGAAAAGCCCCAATTAATGAGGGTATCTTGTTTGAGCGGGCCAGTGAGTGGTCAAGCAAAATCGGCGATGCCTTTGATAACCCGCCAAAAGTAGGAGGCAGACGCCCACAAATCTGTGGACGGCCTTGGTGGTGTCGGCGCAAAGAAATCCTTCAGAGCTAAAACCTTTTCTGGGACACGCTGCATGGCAGAAACCTCTAGAATATGCCCAAGGATCATATTGCAGTGTCGGCCGAACCAGCATTTGGATCGAATTCACCTGAAGTCCGGAAGGTAGAACACGTCAAGAATAGCTGTCAGTCTCTCAAGTTCACTTTCAAATGGGGGAAAAATACAATGATGTCGTCTAGACAACATTGACACGAGCACCACTTAAATCCTGTGAAGCAGAGAGTCCACCATTCGTGCCTTGGACGTTACAGAGGCCGAAAGGATATGACCTAGAACACGAAAGAAGCCATCAAGCGTTAAAAATACCATCTTCTCTCAGTCCATATGGTCCACAGCAATCTGACCATGTTCGGAATGAAGATCGATGTAAGAGACTTACGCGGCACCATGCAGACAATCAAGGGCATTCGTTAATATATGGTGTAGGGTAGGCGTCTTTTCTTGTGACGTTAAGGGGCTGATAGTTCACACAAAAGTGCCACAATCCTTTCTTTTCAACGAACACTACCGGAGACACCCAGGGGCTGGAGACGGCTGTATAGTGTCCTTCACGAGCATCTTGTTTACTTCCTGCTGAATGACGCCCGCTCCGACGCAGACACCCTGTATTGGCTGGTGGTGAACAGTGTCGACATCCCTAGTGTGTTGCATGCGACACTGGACAACGGACGTCTGGCCTAAAGGTCGATCACTGAAATCGAATATGCTCTGGTATGGCCCGAAAGCACTCCAGAGGGCTTCAACATGTTCAGGTGAAAGGTCTGTAGCGATCATGCCTAAAATTTACCGGCTGCTACTATTTCTTTTCGATGGTGCGTGGTGCGCAAAAACCCTGGAATTGAGAGCGAAAGCTTTGGCCTGTGAATCCAGCAGCGAACGCAGTTCGGCTACGGACATGCCTTATAGGAGCACTTGACTTCTGTGAAGCCGAAATCAGGGATGGGTAGCCAGTTTCTATTAGCTGTGATGCTGAGAACCGTATAGGTAACAACAAAATGCTTGAGCAGCAAGTCACGAAGGGGTGCAGCGTAGTATTCGCCAACTGGCACGACTGGTGAGCATAACACGTCGACGAGCGTAGGTTTTCAGGGGCTATATGAATAAAGTCTCTGCTGTTTACTTGCACGAAGTTTGGCATGAGGGTACACTGTGTTGTGGAAGGTCAAGGCAATTAATGAGCGCTGAATTGATGGTGAGAAAACATAGTCCACGTATTATTTGGATAGTGAGGGCATGTGGCAAGAAAACTACACGATCTCCTGGTGACTCGCAACTGTGGGTTGTGCAGTACACATTCCTACGACAGGCCCTGTGCCTCCATCAGCGAATCGTACCACATTGGTTAAGGGTGGCGTGAGGATATTTTTCATGCTGTGATGAAACTCTGCGTTCGTACCAGAAACGTGAGCGCCCGTGTCGAATAATAGGTTGGACAGGAAGGCCATCAACACGAACTTCAAGGGTGTTTCGGGATAGACGTTAGGGCAAAAGAATATTTTCAGGTAAGGTTGACCGTGCCGCTTCACCTAGAAGCTACTGATCAAAGTTTTTCGGAGACCTGCGGTGGTTAAAGGACGGCTAGTGCAAGCGGCCACTTGTAGGGGAACTAGACAGACGGCTTAAAGGTGTGGCGACGGGAAAGTGTGGCCACAGTCTTCAGGAGCGGTGAACGCTCAAGACTCAGTGAGGCACGGATAAAGGTGGAACATTAGGCACAAAAGAACGTTGTAGGTGAAATACGGGCTAAAAGGTCTAGAAAACTACTAGCTGCGACAGTAACGAGCAATGCGGCCTGCACAACTGCGTTGGAAGCAGATCGGCTTATCATCTGCTGTACACCATTTGAATGGCTTTCTGGGACGAGGATGGTATTGACGAAGGGGTTGACTCCCCATAGCCATTGGAGGCATCATTATTGTTCATGACACAAACAGTGAAAAACAGACCCATACTAGCGCACTCGTGGCTAGCGGCAGCCTGTATTAGGGAGACAGTGAGCACCGGTGTCTCGGTGAACGTGGTTTTGTTGGCAGCTGGGCGCATGGCCTCGAGTTCGCGTCGGACGATGCGCATCTCATCTTCAGGTGTGGATGACTGACCAGGGCATTCACCCGCTAGAGCACGTAGCAGCGGATGTTGGGGAGACGATGAAACTGCGGCGGAACGCGCCGATGCTTCGCTTGCTCGAGGCAGCTACAATCCTGAATTACGAGTACGATGCTGGTTACGTTCGTAAAGACGAGCAGGTTAAGCGCTATCAATGGCGACCCCTTTTGAAATGTGCCAGATCTTGTCAGCCTCGCATATGTTGTGGTAGAACTTTTGGCACAATACTAGCACGTCTTGAATATATGTCCAATAAAGCTCAGTTGACGTCTGAGTGCGTACGATCAATAGTTTCTGGACAGCAAACTGTTGTCCATATGGGTGGCAGGAAAGGTCGCGGAGCTTCTGTACAAACAGTGTACCTGGCCGTAACCTCGCGTTCAGTGCATCTCATACCAGACACGAGGAGTTTCGTCGATGTAGAATATGACGTTTCCCAACATTCCGGATAGGCCCCAGCCGTATTATTTTTTAAAATGCTCATACATGCTAACGACTTATCGACTTCAATATTCGCTCTCTCCATAAATTGTGCCGGAATCATGGGCTGGCGTTATGGCGACGTACCGAGAGGTCATCGGAGATGTCTTTGACTTTGTTTGGCGAAGACTCGTATCCACCTGGCGCCATGGTATAGTAGATAGCAAGATGCGTGCACTGTGGAGCTCCGTCGAAAAGAAAAATACACTGCAGCTCGACGCGAAATGTTACGTGATAATAACACTGTCAGTCACAAGCCACAGTACAGCACAGTGAACGTCTTCAATTTCCTACTATAGACGCTTTTCAGGGTATGTTCCAATATAATGTCAGTAATATCCACGTAAATATATAACAGGCTGTTCACTGCTGATGCTAATAAGTTATGTGTCTAAATATTGGCTCACGTAGTGCCTATCGTGTATTCTGCTGAACATGTGCTCTTATTAGTAAAAAAAAACGAACACTTACCGTTCAATATGCGTTGAGCGGTGAAGCAATTCGCTCTTTCCTGAATTAATTGGTAGTGCCCATTCCACTGCGGCCAGTCTTTTGGCTCCACTTGCATGGTTTCAAAACATAAGGCACCAATTAGACTATCTCAAAGTTTTCATCGTTTGAGACAATATGTTGTTTGTAGAAAGTACTCACAGAACATCTCTGGAAGTTGCGCTAATAACTTAACACGATAAGCTTGTGGGTTGTGCACTGTGTTTTATTCGCTACAAAATTAGTTTTTACCCTAAATGAACACTAAAGGTAAAAACAATCTGCGTCAGAGTACAACATAAATGCTTGAGAATGTCTAAAAGAGGCAATATTATCAACAACAGTAGAATAGACACGTTGAGCATAAATGTACGAAGTTAATGAGCCATGCATGAGTGGGACATTTAGGAATTATCCCGTCGACATCAAAAGTGTCGAGTATAATTATTCATTAGTAATAAAACTATTCCTAATAAAAAAGAACCTGTTGTGGACTACAAGACATATTAACATGCTGCTTGTTCATTTGTTTGATTCACGGAAAGAATAACCGCTTGGCGCTGTCATGTGGCACGGCGCGACTGGTTCAAACGTTCTGTTTTCACCGAAGTATGCTCCCATCACGCAGTCCTGTCTAAGTAGTAGTTTCGGTATCGCGCACTGCTTCATGTACTCTACGCACTCATGAAAGACAATGAGTGTGAAAGTTCGACCATTTCCTGCGTGCATGTGACGTGGCCGGACTGCAGAAAGGTGTAAGTCGCGTGAGCTGCGGGATAAAAATTAGGTGCTTGATTGTCTGGCGCGGGCCGCAGAATGGACTTCTATGCTTTTAAGGTTGTTCGAAATTTCCAGAGCCCTCCACTACGGCGTCTCTCATAATCACATGGTGGTTTTGGACGTTAAACCCCACGTATCAATCAATTATTGAAGTGGCTGAGCGGCGTGCCTCAGCGCCAGTGTGAAAAAAACAGCAAAAAAATCACACCATTCCCCCGCTTTAAGGGAAACGTGTGGTTGCGAAGCATCGGAAAGATGGTGAACGGCATCCACAGAAACTCGTCTACATCTTCAGGAAGGAAGGAAGGAAAATAGGGGGAAAAGAACGGCCGGGAGGTTAACCAGCCTATAGACAGCCGGTTTGTATACTCTGTGCATGAGAGAGGGATGGGGCAGATGAAAGATAGTGAGCAGAGAGGGAAGAGAGAAACACAGCACATTCGGCAGCGCATGCGCGCACACTCAGTCATAGTCCAGTCTTGTCTTTCGCGGTGTGTGACATTGCTATTACAGTCGCTTGTTCAAGTCCGTGTCGCGTAGGAATTGCAACAGAGCTTTCGTCGCCTTCTGTTGTATTGTCTTTTCTCGGGCACTTGACAGAATAGTGTCCACAGACATTTGGCTGTTGTCCATGCGCGCAAAAGCAGACGCCAGTGACTGTCTCTTGATTTCACACAACGCACAGTCACACAGAATGTGGTGTAGCGTCTCTTCGCAATGGCAGGCATCAAAGAGAGCGTTGTCGGCCATTCCTATGACAAAGAAATAAGATTTTGTAAATGCCACTCCTAGCCATAAGCGAGGAAGAAGGGTGGCTTCTCTTCGGTCGAGTCCAGTGGGCATGCGGAGAGCCATCAAAGAGGACAGGCGGTGTTGACGATTCGTATCGATGCTTGGTGGGCACCGATAGTGAAAACGTGATTTCACGCGCAAGTCGTCAAAAATTACTGGCAGCATCAGTCCGCGAAAGTGGTATGGCTTCTTCTCGTGCTCCTTCGAGGGCTGCCCGCGCGGCAGTATCGGCATGTTGGTTCCCTATGATGCCGCAGTGACTTGGCAGCCATTGAAGCGTCACATGATGCCCTTTCTCGTGTGAAGTGTGGAGAAGGCATCGAATTTCAAAAAGAAGCTGTTCGTATGGCCTGCGACGCAGTGCTGAGAGCACAGATTGTAGGGCATCCCTCGAGTCGCTGAAAATCGACCATTGTTGCGGTGGTTCCCGATTGACCACACAGAGTGCAGCGCGCAAAGCAGCTAGTTCCGCTGCTGTAGATGCCAGTGGGGTGGTCAGTGCTTAAAGCTGATGGTAATCACCTCTTGCTGAGACAACTACTGCCCCTGACGAACACTGGCGGTTCGAGGAACCATCGGTGTATACATGTATGCTGTCTGAATATTTCTCGTGCAAAAGAAGAAGAGACAGTTGTTTCAGCACGGTCGACGAAAGCTCAGATTTCCTCCGTATCCCTGGTACACTAAGATGCACTGTGGGTCGAATAAGACACCAAGGTGGTATGGATGGTTTAGAGGCAGGAGTGAAGCCCAAGGGAAGTTTATCGTTGTATTTCACAATAATTTCGGCGAACGATGCTTGGCGCCTCTCTGAAGGCAACAGTGCAAGGTGATGACAGGGAGCACGTGGGAAGTGTCTGATGTGCGTTCTCAGGACTTCTACAACAATGTCAGTTTGTATCGGATAGTCACCATCAATCGCAATTGTGGCTTCCGTTGACGTACATCTATCAAATGGTGGTTTTGGAACGTTAAACCCCACAAATCAATAAATCGTTGACGTACATCTGGGCAGACCGAGGCACACTCTCAGCGCTTGGGCTTGTACTGCCTGTAGAACACGAACATTGGTATATCAGGTATTGCTAAGCACGGGCAAGCTATATCGGAGGAAACCGAGAAACACAGCTCTGTAGAGCTCCGTCATTGCGTCTACTGACATTCCCCACGTCTTTCCTGCCAGGAACTTGAACAAATGGGAAATAGCGGTCAGGCGCTTCTTCATATAGGTCACATGCGCACTCCAACAGAGGTCCCTATCAATAATGATGCCCAGAAACCAGTGGGTTTCGGCGTGAGAAATCGGTCGCCCGCAGATTGAGATGACATAAGGGGTCATTGCTTTGCGAGTGAAGGCCACCAGCGCACATTTTTCTGTTGATAAGCTGAGACCTTGTTTTAACAAGTAGTTGGCTATTATAGTTGCTGCTTTTTGAAGCCGGGAACGTATCTGAGGACGTGTTACTGCCGAAGTCCAGACACAGATGTCGTCTGCGTATATTGAAATTTTAATGATGCTTGGCAAGTATTCAGCAAGGCCAATTAGTGCAAGATTGAATAGCGTCGGGCTAAGAACTCCATCGTGAGGAACACCCCTTGAAGTATAGCGTCTCGTATTTGGGCCATCTTCTGTTAACACAAATAATGATCTTGCAGCCAGGTAACTCGAAATCCACCGAAAAACTCGACCACCAAGGCCAACCACCGCAAGAGCACCCGAAATTGATTTATGTAGTACATTATCATAAGCGCCTTGCACATCTAGAAACAAAGCTGCAGGTAGTGGCTTACGGGATCTTTCGTGCTGAACGTACGAAACCAGATCAACGACATTGTCAATAGAAGAGTGGTCGCGTCGGAAACCAGCCATTGAATTCCGATAAATCTTGTAGTATTCAAGATACCACTCCAGGCGGCCTAGTATCATCCGTTCCATTATCTTCCCTACGCAGCTGGCCAGTGCTATTGGGCGATATGAGGTGAGTTCGAGTGGGGATTTGCCTTGCTTCAAGGTGGGTAACAAGCGGCTTACTTTCCAGTCATCAGGAACATTGGCATCCTGCCACGTGATGTTGTAGAGGCTCAACAGTTCTCTCCTTGCACCTTCCCCAAGGTTGCACAAGGCACGGTACGGAATACCATCTGGGCCCGGAGAATTTGAACGCCTGCAGAGAGCTAGTTCCACCTCGAGCTCCTCCATTGAGAAAGGGAGTTCCATGTGGTAGTCACGGGAACGGGGGACGTGACCTCTCACTGGAGAATCTGGACGAGAGGCTTGGTTGGCAATCTGCGCACAGAAATCTTCTGCGACATTGATGTCTTTCCTCCCTTGAAATAGCGCGAGCGCTTTGAATGGAAAGCGCGGTTCCGTAGGGTGACGCAGACCTTGCACCGTTTTCCAAATGTGTGAGAGTGGCTTGCGAGGGTCTAGTGACTGGCAAAACGTTGTCCATCGTTCCGACGCTAATCTATCCACGCGACGCCGAATCTTTTTTGTATCCTCCTGGCTGCCCTAAGATCGTGAATTGATTTTGTACGACGATACCGACGCTCCGCCCCGCGTCGCAATGCTCGGAGTCACTCCAACTCTATATCAAAGTCGTTTCGTGTGGAAGATATCATCACCGTGCGAGTGGCGTTTTGCATTGTCCTCTTAATTGTTTGCTCTAACCCAGATCGCAGGCCATCGCTGCAAGCATCTTCCATGTCAGATTTGAAGTTGGTCCATTGGACTGCTCGATCGGTCGTCCATGGACCATAAGTAAACAAGACTTTGATGTTAAGGTAGATTGGAATGTGATCACTTCCTCATGTCTCAACATCTGGAAACCACTTGACATATTTCGCGAGGGAGTTGGAGACAAAGGCAAGGTCGAGGCACCTGCCGTATGTCACGCCTCGAAGAAAAGTGGGGCTTCCGTCGTTCAGGAGAGTAAGGCCATGGTTGTAGGCGATGTTTGCTAACCTGCGTCCTCTTGCATTTGTCCGCGTACTTCCCCGAGCGTGATTGTGCGCATTAAAATCACCTATGATGACTCATGGTGCAGGACACACTCTCAGAATATCCGCTAATCTCCTGGAATCGAGATTATTCGACGGCGATATATAAACGCCTATAAGAGTAAACATGAGTTTGTTATTTTTCACAGTGATGCAGACATACTGATTGTCATCGTGAAGTGCAATTGGTTGCACAACATACGTCAGTTCACGACGAACAAAGACGATGATTTCGCTGCACGCGCCATTTGTTGAAGACAAGACAGCATCGTACCCACACAGTCTTATTGGTTTCCACAAATTGGGTTCACAAACGACGATGATTGGAAGCACGTTGGTAAACACAAACTGACGAAAATCTGAAAGGCTTCATTTTAGTCCTCTTGCGTTCCATTGGATAATGGATGCAGCCTTGACTTCTTTATGAAATGATGAGGTGTCAGTAGCCATCTTCCTAGTTGAGAGATTCAAGCACTGGGCTTAGGGCGTCCAGTAGTCCAAGTGCGCTTCGAGCAGATGGTGTCTTCATGTCGACTAATATTGCTCGGATGGCTTCTATGAGGAAACGGAGTACCGAGATCACTTGACGATCAGTTTTAGGCAAATCTTCCATGGCAGGAGACGGCTCTGGTGTGGCCACAACCTCGCAGAGGTTCCTTGACAGAAGAGCGCGTCGGGAGCGTGGGCCGTTCCTCTAGAGAAGGAGGCTTCTCTCTTTCATTCGTACAAGTGGTGGGCCCTTTCGCGGCGCTACTGAATGGAACCACTAAAGAGTGGGAAGTAGTGTCTCGGGAATGTGCCTTCTTTGAAGACTTTCGATGATGCCGACGCCGACGCTGATGCCGGACTATTTCGGCTGCCTCCCTGTGTGTCGAGTTGTCTTGGGCCATTTGTCTGAGAACTGCGCGCCAACCACATCGGGGTCCCTTATTCTAGCACGAGCTGCCACCACCCTGCGCACACGACGCTCAGCAGCTGGTTCATCCGCCTACCCTGTAAACGTGCGCCCCAAACCAGCACCTATTTTACTATAGAGCGCCATCTGGCGTACGGCACCACCGAAGAACACGTGATCGCAGTCGCACGGTCATCTCCCTCTTTTTCTTTTTCTGTACGTGTGACGTAAATCGTGTTTTCATAAAACTCACCTTTTACTATTATCTTTTCTACAAGTAACGCCCTATAGTGTCGGACCACTTGCATTATTCAGCGTGTATGCATTCGTTATGTAGTACAAGTAGCGCCCTCTATTGCCGGTTAGAGAACTAAGGAGAGGTGGTTACTACAAAGTATGATGGGGTAACATGCGTGAAACGTCCATGGTGGTTGTAGTGTTGGCTACAAAATTTTATAAACATTAGGTATGTACCCCTACGACACTGACATCACGCCGGGTTAACGTCATTTGTAGTTAGGCGCCTAGCGTTGAAGTTCCGTTATGTAGCAGTATCCATGGTCACCATCTCTTTCAGCGCTTCCATATCACCTCACCATTTTTAGTATTTTTAACATCCATGTTGTTGGTGGTACCGTTTCGCAACTGTAAACAACTGGTTATAAAAAAATATACGGGGCTGCTTAACGTATGCCTGTGCCATGTGTACATATCTTTAGCCACACTTTGGAACGTTTTGATCAATGAAAAATTGGTAGATACCAAGTACAGTGGGAATCAATGACATGCGAAGCACGTGTGACGATGGTTGAATCGTTACGCTAAAATCAGCACAACGTTATGAGGCGGACGTAAACTCCTAAGGTATGTCGGACATGAATTCCAAGTCATAATCATCATGATCGCACCTGGAATTCGTGCTCAGTCGTCCATTCACGTCATGTAGTACCAAATTAGGTATATGTGAAACTAGCGAAACGTCCGCAAGCGCACTATGAGCGTAGCATGTTGTCATATTTTACATGTCACGCATCTCATTATTATTATGTTTGACCAGTCATGTACCTTCGTCATCCATTCACCTCCCGTTATACCAAGTTTGGTGTACCTCTAGGTAGCGAAACGGCCACGAATGCATCATTAGCATGACATGTAGTCATTTTCTTACATCACACGCGTGTCATGATTATCATACTTGCTCCAGTCATATACCTTTATTATTCATTCACGTCACGTAATATCTAATTTGGTGTATGTGAAGCTAGCGTAACAACCACGAGTGCATCATGAGTGTGGCAGTTAGTCATGTTCTTACATAACCCGCATATCATGATTTCCACGCGAGGTCTTGTCACTTATGTTCGCCATGCAGTCATGTCATACCATACCAGTTTTGCGATATGTCATGCGAACGAAACCACCGCAGAAGCAGCGCGACCATGACTTATAAGTAATGGCATTTATGACATACAAACTTTAATTTTCATTTTATGTCTTGTCACTTATGCTCATCGAACATTGATCTTATGCCACACCAATTTTGCTATATATCCCATTATTCAAACGGCCAGGAGAGCTAAAAGTCGTAGGTGGCTAGCTAGCTAGCTAGATAGATAGATAGATAGATAGATAGATAGATAGATAGATAGATAGATAGATAGATAGATAGATAGATAGATAGATAGATAGACAGACAGACAGACAGACAGACAGACAGACAGACAGACAGACAGACAGACAGACAGACAGACAGATAGATAGATAGATAGATAGATAGATAGATAGATAGATAGATAGATAGATAGATAGATAGATAGATAGATAGATAGATAGATAGATAGATAGATAGATAGATAGATAGATAGATAGATAGATAGATAGATAGATAGATAGATAGATAGATAGATAGACGGGTGGGTGGACGGGCGGGTGAACGGACGGATGGACGGACGGATGGGAGGACGGACGGACGGACGGATGGATGGATGGATAGATGGATGGATGGATGGATGGATGGATGGATGGATGGATGGATGGATGGATGCGGTCAAACATGGCGAGATTTGCTATAACATGCTTCGCATTTAAAATATTACAACTCATTCACCTTCCATCGAGATGCTTCGCATAACATCGATAGCCAAGGTAAATTGGGCCTGCTGAATTTAGTTTTTTTGCTGTGGTCAGCTTTCTCAGTCAATCTAGTCGCTGAAAACAGATCTTTATATAGCAAACAATTATTTTGCAATCAACGTAACAAACAAAAAACAAAAAATACCACTAGGCACGGGAAAAAAAAACGACGGAAACATTCCCGTGTCTTAGTTTGTAGACTTACCTCCCCTCTTGATGAAATCAAAGGTTCCATTGGGATATAATCCGAAAATGATCAAATCTGAATTTCTCCTGTTAGAAAAGAAAAAAAAAAACGCCAGTTATTCCTATTCTGAAAGTCCACTGGAAATCACGCTTTATTTGTCTTCAAGAAATTAGGCTTCAGAGAAAATTACAGTACCGGACTTCAAATATGTAAATATATCTGGATTATAAGTTCGTATGTTAGGTGTTCATATTTCTACATTAGGTGGTCAATGAATTGAGTGAAAATAGAACATGAATTTTGCCTTCGAGTTTTGTGAATGCACAAAACACCGTGCAAATTTCACCTCATAGAGATGTTTATTATGTGGGGAATTAATAGCCTCTAAAGTTGACCCAACGCCATATTCACTGCATTTTGATTGTTTCAGCACTTTGAAATTTAGTTTTTTTTTACTGGATTATTGCTACTTGAATAGACTCTGGCTGGGTTGGAGGAGAATAAAAAATTGATGCTTAGTATCGCAGTTCCCTGCATTTGTCACATCTTAGCATTTTTGTCATGTTAATGGTGTGCCGTCAAAGTCGCTTTAACGTGACGGCGTCAAAAAGGTTGTTTCACGAAAATTCCGGTGTCTGTGTCGATGGCGTCGGCAGCGGTGTCGTTATTGTGAGCGAAAAGTCAGCGGCGTACGAGAACAAAAAGCCGAGGTAGGAAGAGGAGAAGGAAAGAAAGGTGAGGAAGTTCTACCAGAAGCGCGTCCGGTTTGATATCCTACGCCAGGGGAACGGGATTACAGGATGAAAAGAGGGGGTTAAAAAGAAGGCTAACATATAGGAAAAGCTACACGTGAACTAAACTGCTTCGGGTAAAAATACACTTTATTTTTACAGGAAGTATTTATTTACAGGGCCGTCAGTCAGGAATCAGGATCACAGTGAGATGACTCTGCACAGAAAACACAGCACACAAGTCAACCCACACTCAGCCCCCCCCCCCCCCAACAACGTTGTCGCTTTCGTCGATTTTGCGCCATTTCAGGAGTCCTGCCAGAGCGGTATTCCTTTGCCAGTGCCATTAACCCGGCCTATAAAGCATCATCTCGGTACCTGCTATGTCTGAAAGGGTGTTTCATGGTTATAGGCGTTCAGGCGTGATACATCCATTATGGTCAGTACTGGGTGCAGCAGTCTATGAATTGGCTGAGTTTGTAATCAGGGAACCCTTATTAAAGCCCCTAGATGTTGGAAAGTAGCGACGCTCCTTTATCCACGCCGGCACTCTCTCGGCGCGCCGGCAACCTCCTCTTTTTTCACCCCCTCTTTCGCGGAGCCCGCGCATCCCAAGCGCTGAATGGCTGCGGCGGGCGATACCGCCCAGTCAGATGACCCTGACGTCACGAAAAGCGCGCGCAAGCAAACTTCGCGCGCTTTTCGTCAATCACGCACGCCATGAACCCTCCAGGCGCCACGCCAGCCTTGCCGCTCTGAACGTGTTTTTTTTTTTTTTTTTGCGTAGAATCGTGAGCTTCGTTTTTCGTGGCAATGCCTGGCTGTTGCGCGTATCAGTGCAGCAGCAGGTCAGAGAAAGGAGTAAGATTATTTTATATCCCCCGAGGAGATAGGAATAGGAATGCCGTGCGCAGAAAGCAGTGGATCCACAACATCGGGAGAAAGGACTTCGCCCCTTCTAAACACGTTGTTCTTTGCGAGGTTAGTGTTACCGATTTCGTTAAATCTCTAGATAAAGTCGTACGAAGATTTTAATGCTCTTTGCATCGCTGGACTCTCCGTTCAGTTTAATAGCGAGCACATATAAATATTGATATAGCTGGGTCTGAATGAGTCGCTGAGCTTTTTTTGTAATTCTCTGTGCCCTGAGATAGTTTTCTTGTGTTTTAGCGCGTGCGTTAGTTTTCTTAATGTGTGTAATTTCCGCGATTGATGAGGCAGCTAAGGCTTTCGTCTTAATAAGTCAATTAACAACCGCTCAAGGATATCTTGGCAGCAGCCGTAAAGTAAATAGCCATACGCACGGAAGCAAAGTTACGTATCTGGTATATGTATGTATTATGCGTGTATGCTCATATAAAGAAAGAGCCACGTACGCGCTTTTCGTAATGGCTCTCTTCTGATAAACTTTACATCCTGAATTCTGTGAGTTAATTATAGCGTAACATAGTCTTAGAAGCTTCCATCTGAGCGGTGGGTTTTGCTTTTTTTTTAACAGACTGAGGTAAGTCCCAAAGTTAATGGAATGCAATATCTCGTCGTTTCATCGTGACGGAAGCCAGACACGCACAGTGACTTCTATGCTTGCTTTTCGCCAACACAACATGAATTTTACAAAGCGACACTGCAGCACTTATCAAGTTCTCGTCTATACAATGTGCTGCCTACATTACATGCGCTTAATACACATCCGCGTTACAGACAGCCGAAGCGGCGACGGAGAGGTAAACCGCTAAGCCGCCAGCTGGTATGCTCATTTTTTCGAAGCGCTTCCGCTCGTATTTATCGAATCGTCTTAAAAAATATGTCTGCCATAATGTTCTATGGGAAGCCTACTTTCGTCACGGCTCTTTCTTAAGGGACATATTCTCGTATAATGCTTCAAGGAGCCGATTAAACAAGCGCGCGCATTGAATCTAATGCGGTTGCAGCGAGCCAGTGGAGGGTTCAGCGTGCCGTGCGCACCGCGCCGGCCGGGAGAGGGGAGAAATCCGAAGAGAATTGAGGAGGAAAACGTGCGCGCGGAGGAGAGTGTCGCTACTTTCTAGATCTAGGGGCTTTAACCCTTATTGGTGAGAAGTGCCACCTGGCGTTGTACTCGGTAGGCCCGACGTATCGTAGTAGGAGCTTTTCACTGAGGCCTGCATGGCGAAATGGGAGTACCAGTAAACCAAGAGAACCCGGAAAAATTCAGCATCCCTGTGTCGAGTATTATTCAGGCACTTTTGTGTAATCTGGGAGAGTAAAAGTGGGTTGCGGGCTACTCTGCGTGCGATGAGAGCTCAGGTATGAGCTCTCATCTTGGGGATATGAAGTGACGTTCAGTCCAATGGAAGCAAAGTATCGGAAACTATCGGAAGATTACTGCCAAAAAAAAAAAGAAATCACAGCATATTCACAGAGTGAATTATGATGAGTGGGGCGAAGCGTCCGTCAGTTCGTCAGCACTTCTGTCCATCCGTTCGTCCATGCGTCCGCGCGTCTGTCTGTGCGTCCTATCCGTCCGTTCGGCTGTGCGTCCGACCATTCATCACGCGGTCCATTCGTCCATCCGTCTGCTTGTCTGTCTGTCCATCCGTGCATTCGTGCATCCGTCCATCTAGTGAACCTTCCAAGTAACGCTATCTCGCATCTTTTCATCTCTCTCCTTCCCCTGTGGTACATATCCGTCTATCTCTTAAGGCACATACCCACTCTTTCGGGTATGGGCCACCGGTGGTTAGGCACAATGACAACGGGGGGCGCGCAAGCCACGACATTGGGAGCTTCGCCCCTAAAATAACAGGGTTAATATCCGGCAGTTTCGTGGCGCGATGAGTTATAGTTAAAGGTGACGAACCGGAGGGTAATGTCCCAATTGGTGTGGTCTTTGGAAACACACATATAAAGCATATCTATTTGTGTGAGCACATTGGTACAAGGTTAGAAGTGCTCATGCTGTGAGGAGTAGCGCCAGGTGACAGTGGGTTGTCGATAACCCGATAGAGAAAGCAGTGACCATGGTCTGTCAGTATATGAAAAGGAGCGCCACGCCGGCGAACATTTATAGGAGGAAATCAGCAACGTCAGTCACCCAGCTGTTCAGAAACGCTCGAGTGGTCACATACTCAGTGACATAACCTGTGGCTACCGTGAACAATTTATTTTCAGTTGTCGAAGTTGGAAAAAAAAGCAAGCAAGCCCAATCCCATTCTATAAAAGGGCTAGGCTCTCATTTTGATAGGCGGAATGTGATCGTCGGGGGGAGTCGTACGTTTATTTCTTTGCTGGCAGACGTCTCACGCCGCAACGTAGCGGCGAAAGGAACAATAAAGACTTTTCCAGAAATACCGTCGTTGGACATAGTCGTCCATTCGGAACACACATAAACGTCCGGAAGCTGGAGTGTGGTGAAGCACTTGAAAGACGTCCTTGCACAGGTGATGTTGGATGACGAGTAAAAGTAGTGCGCCCTCAAGGTGTAAATTGCGTTTGTACAAAACATTGTCTTATTGTCTTGCAGCGAGAAAATGCTGAGGGAAGGCTCGGAATTGCCGCCTTAAATGCGGTCAATAAGGAGGAGTACCGATAGGTCTCGCCGTTGTTAATCCACCCCGTACATAATATCAATGATGGCGAAAATGAGGGCGTAGGCTTCCAGCTGAGCAGAGACGGGTGGTTCAACAAGGGGGCGGGATAAGCAGTCAGTATCCCCATGCAACTTTCCACATTTGTAAACCACCATTAATGTATACTCCTGCTGCTGTCATGACAAGTGGTCGAGTCTTAACTACGGTTACTCAGTGTTGACAGTCACAACAGTGCATGATTTTCTGTGAAAACTGTGAATGTGTGTTTATACACAAACGGACCAAGTTTAGCGATGGCTGAAACGGGAGCTAGACATTCCCGCGCGATAATAAAATATTTCTTTTTACGACTGTGACAGAAGGCAGCAGGCACATATTGTCCCGCAGCTTGTGATACTCTGTAACTATGCGAATATAGCTCAGGTACAGAGTGTCACAGAGTGTCAGTATAGCTGCAATGCCATAGGCCACTTGCACCAGTGCAAAGCTCTGTTCGGCTGGCTGGGTCAAATGGGTCAAATTTTGCTAGTGACATAAGAGCGCAAATGATTGAGACAAAGCAATGTGCTTGGTTCGCACCCCAGTAAAAAATTGGCCCCGTATCTGCATGTTAATCTGCAAATGTCATCGAAAGACGATATTCTTGCGTGTGGAGAGAGGGAACGAAACATTTATTTGATGTTCTGCACAAGAAATCGGTGAATGATATTCTGAAGGCGCTGCGTTAAAATGCCTCGAGCGTGCAGCGGAGGTGAACGAGCGCATCGAGTCACGTCACACGTGAGA